TCTCGTGAGTTGACATTCGGAAGTGATTAGTCATTAATTATCCCGATAAAAATTTGTCATTGAAAATTTGATCTCTCTGTCCTTGTGTTAGAATAAAGTTCAACATTGTACTGTGATTACTACATGTACCAACACAGATGAACCTTCATGATAATTTGAGGATCATAAAGAATTGAACTTGATGAGACAAATCCTATCCTACAAAAACTATGTACAAAAATTACTGTACAAACAGGTCCAGAATAAACTAAGCAAAGCTGAAGCCACAATTTCATTTACTTTCACTCACAGATGCAACACTACACCTACACCACAATTTGTCTGAAGAAAAACCTATTTCCACTTTCAGATGGCTTAGTAAAAAAAATACAAAATTTATATTGTGAAATACTTACTTTTGGAGAGTCTTCATTTCTCTTGGTTTTTCAAGTCATCTGGTTGCTGAGCCGTCGTCACAGTTTCTCCCAGTCAGGACAGCTGACCCTCAGGACACACCTGACAATATAAAGGATGTGATAAGGGTGTGATGAAAAAACATCCCCAGGCAACACTGAGTCACCATAAGAAATTACAACATGATCACACAATTCAACTCTAACATTGCTTGAATACTTGTAGAAAGAGGCTGTAGAAGATTGCCTTTAAATTACAGTGTCACATGTAGAATGTTTCCCTCAGTTCTTAATACAATTGAGAGGTAAGGAAAAACTCATGTAAGTTGTAAAGCATTGTCTCACCTGTACAAAATCTTCTCTGTGTCTTCAGTCAACTGGTTTGCTGACAGAGCCCTCACCTCATGGTCTGGTTTGGACAGAAGTCACCCATCATCATAGCATTCTCCCAGTCAGGACAGGAACATCAGGACACACCTAACTATGTGAAAGGATATTTAGTGTGATTACTACAAACTATTTCCAGACAACACTGAACTCACACACTCACTACATGTAGTGCTAAAAGTGCACTATTAAATTATTACTTACACAATGTCATCTTGTCTTAAATACATGTAACAGAGTAAATGGTAAGCAAAATGCACAATTCAGATTTGTCTCACCTGATATCCATCTCAAGTATTCAAATCTCCTGGTCTGGTCTGGTCCAATCTTCTCTTGTCAGGTTCAGACAGGGGTCTTCACTAACTGCATCAGTCAGCGGCCACCTAACTATACAATGCAAGTTACACACTTGTCTCAAAATTAAGTACAAAATAAGGCGTAAAATGAAGAATTCAGATTTATCTCACCTGATATTCATCTAGAGTCTTTGAGTCTGCAGATTTCCTCTGGTTCAATCTTCTCTTGTCAGGTTCAGACAGAAGTCCTCACTACTGCATCAGTCAGCAGCCACGTCACTGTACAACATTACATGTTACACACTTGTCTCAAATATTAATAAAGTAAATGCTAGGTAAAATGCAGAATTCAGATTTGTCACCTGATAGTCATCTCCACATCTGGTCTAGTCTGGTTCTATCTTCTTTTGTCAGTTTTAGACAGAAGTCACCACTACTTCACCAGTCAGCAGCCACCTAACTATTCAAACATTAGATGTTACACAGCGTCTCAAGTAACACCAAGTAGATGGTAGGTAAAATGCGGAACTGGGATTTTTCTCACCTGATATTCCTTAAATCTGGTCTTGTCCAAAATCCTTGTCAGGTTCAGACATGAGTCCTCACTACTGCATCAGTCAGCAGCCACCTAACTATACAGACACTAGATGTTACACACTTGTCTCAAATAACACCAAATAACACCAAATAGCTGTGTAAATTAAAATAAAAGGCATAATTTTTCTCACCTGTTGCATCTGTCATCACAAGTCACTGACCCTCAGAACACAGACTGGCCTCTATGAAAATAATTACAAAGTGTTTAAATCAAACCTGTTATACAGGATGAAAGCTGTACCTATATGAAAGTGTAAACAAGGATAGCAACAAACTCCTTCAACTGAAATTACATGTAGAACATATAAACTCGGCACAAAATGTTAGAAAACAGCAATACGCCATGTTGGATTACATTGAATGTATGCTGAAATACCAACACCTGGTCACCGAAATTCATATGATAATTATTATGATTATTATGACGTCATTGAAAAGGCTCTGTTGCGACATCCAAACCTAGTCAACTGTAGTGTTTGGTCATTACAAGTACTGAATTAGTCTAAAATGGAAATTCTTCTATTCGTGATACATACACTGTGATACAGGGAAATAGAAGTTAGGTGGCCTTAGGTGGAATTTTTAAACTTTTTTTTAATCACGGTGCCTTGAAGCTTTAGAAGCAACAAAGATAATTTAATTACGCACACGTGCACATTCCAACAGATGTTTCGAACGAACCACGTGTAGATAGGGAAAAGTTTTTCTACACGTAACATACTAGTAACCTCAAAACATTGAACAATTGACAAAAACACACACACACATACATTCAATACTCATAAATGTCGCACATGGCAACTTCTAAAAAAACGCTGCAAAATGATGACCTTTTCAAAGCCTGTTTTACGTTAGGAACGGTCGCTTGGAACGTACAAAACGAAACCATTTCATACGAAATTTAACTTGACATGTTCTTTCTAGTTGTAAGGAAATTGTCAAATTGTCAGCAAACAAATTTGTCGGTTTACCTTCAAAAATAAGTGAAGTCGACCCCATACCACGCCACTCCAACTGTCTCGCCATTTTGTTGTCTTGTCCAAAATTCACCCGGTCAGGAAATTCGCATTTTCTCTTCAAAACATCACTAGAACGGCACAAATCCACAGCGAAAACTTCCCCAACGCTCTGCTACACACTTCATAAAAAATTCCACGGACAAAAACTCGAGAAAGTTCCTGAAAGGTTGACAAAAATAGTAGCCTAGAATATTCCTGTCGTGCGAGAGCGCCATTTTGAAGAGACCACGCCACACGTGTTTTTACACAGGTGTGGAAAACAGCCGTGTCTAATTAATGTGAAACCGGTAATCTTTTTACGAATCTTGGATGAGAATGCAGCTGTAGGGTGACTTCAGTATTCCTGTTATTGACAAATATACTTCTTCACGAATAACCTTTATGCGACCAGACACGATAAAATAGAACACTTTGTCCCGGCTTTTCTCACTAACTACCATAAATTCATTTTACCGGAATTTTCGCGGGGACTGCATTTCGCAGTAGAATGAACACATTCCACACACAGGCAAACATGCCTGTCCTTGGTGCTGAACACCATCCACACACAGGAAAACAAATACGAGTACACTTTTCCCTGGTAAAAAATAAAACAGAAAATAAACAAAAGCGCCAATCGTTCCAGTTATCTCCTATGCCAGAAAAGGAACAATTAATGATGAAAAAAATGAAAAACAGACATAAACAAGTTACGAAACCTAAGTGCATGGATCAAAAGCGACCTCTAGCAGTTCAATTCAGTACGACAACATACCGTTGGTTGATCCGCCCCTATTACTGCAGTGATTGTTTATGGCCGCCTAGGGGCGCTTTTGATCCATAGCGATTTCAACAACAGGTGGTTCAAGTTCAAGCTACAAGGGAGGCGGACCGGCATACATCTTGCCAGCATAGGTTTCTATAGAAAAACAGACATAGACAGATTTACCAAGTGTTTGCCTAGACTGGCAATTGATAACAATGAAAATGGATTTGACCGAGAAAATATGTGTCAGGAATATACATTGTGTAGAAGCAGGATTTCTTTCTCCCTGTAGGACAGTAGGAGTAAGATAATGGATTGATTTTTCTTGAAAAAAATATTAATTTAAGACAAGGAATCAGAGATGTCAGAAAGTATTTTGTGTGTGTGTGTGAATGTATTGGGACTGTGGAGAAGATTGTATGATGAAACACCTCTCACCGTCCATGCAACCGAATCACGTTATAAATCCATAATCTAACAATACCGCATTGAATTACATCATAGAATGTACGATTGTATGGCAAAACGTACTCCACTATTACACCATGGTTTATGTTTCATAAAAATGAGACGCAGAGGAAAAAGGGGAGATCGCCAACCAATCTAAATTTATGCGATGCCCCCTCCTGACATCTGCTTGGTTTTCATTCATATGGTAATGTTTTCGACAGCAAAAACTTCACTTCTACAAAGGCTGTGGCCACTTCTGCAATGGATCAGCTGATCGTAAAATCACTTTTTGAAGCATAACTTGAGAATGTAACAAATTTGATGGAAGGCAGTACTAGTGTGTAGTAATAAAATAGGGACCGTAAGGAATATACTCTGTATGCAAGAAGGCAAAGTGATGCAAATAATTGATTTTTCTAAGATTGCAAATTCATCCACTATCATATACTCCCGTTTTGGAGCACTCACTCACTCACTCATTCCCAGATTTCCTTATTTCTTATGGGGGTTTTGCTCCAAGTCTTTCCTGCTCTTGTTCTTGACCTCAATACTCACCCTGACTATATACCAAAATATCATGAATTTATCAGAAAAGAACTATCCTAGTCTTGTATCTGTTCATCTTGAACCAAGTATTTATAGAACGACTTGTACGAGCGGCTGAATTCGGATTTTTTTTTTGGTCAATATTAAAAAAAAAATTCTGACACACATTTTGTCTTTGCAACATGTCTATTGTCAATCACGAACATTACAACTGTTATACAATATCTTTGACCAGATAAAGAGAAACATGTATACACTTTGCGTTAGTATCTTTGTATTCCTTTGGGATTCTGAAGGTCTACATTTATCACACTGGTCAATGCAAACAAACAAAAAAGAAAGAAAGAAGCGAATAAACACTTTTTCCTATAACATTAACGAACTTGTGACATTACTTCAGTGCTCTTATTAGTTAACCATCAAACAAACCAAACCAAACAAACATCTCTTGAATTACAAGCCATCTACAAGCATCATTCATAATAGTAAGAAAAGTAACTTGTAGGTTGCAAATGCACCTATCCCTACACTTTCTGGAATGTCCATTGGATATTTTCCTCATGTTTCAGTAATTGTTCTTGTGGCCACTTCATACTAATGTTCAACATGTAAATGTCACACACATACATTGTACACATCTCCCTCCAAAATCAGGTCAACCACAAGTAAGCATTACCTAGTACATGTACATGTAGTTATACTCTCAAACTGGCCTGATAATTTTATGTAGCACACCTGGCTTTAACATAACCTGCATAACTAACAGTACATGTACTACATGTACTACTATCTTCTCCACAGTCTGTAAGGATGCACATGTATCCTTATTTGAACCAACTAACATTTTTCTCCTTCTAGTTAATACATGTAGTATGCACATGTACTGGCCTTCAAAGCAAACATATTCATTACCTCCATGAAATGTGTCATGGAGGTTATATTTTCAGTTGCGTTTATCTGTCCGTCCGTCTGTCCGTCTGTCCGTCCGTCTGTTGGTCAACAAGATAACTCAAGAACGCCTGGATGGATTGGTTTCATACTTGGTGTGTTGGTAGGGTGTGACGAAAACTGGAAATGATTAGATTTTGGTCCCCCTAGTGGCTTCCCTTGGTACTGCAGCGCAACTTCCGGTTTTTATATCTCGCGATCTGGACATGCTAGGGTCATGAAATTTTCATGGAAGGTAGCTCTCGTGCTTGGGAAGAAGTCATATGAGTTTGGGCCCCCTAGCGGCTTGTTCTGGAACTGCAGGGCACTTTCTGGCGAAATGTTCAAAAGCCAATAAGTCCAGACAGGAACAACATATTTTCATTATTTTTGGTGTGTAGGTAGCTGAGAGAGAGATGTACATAATTAAATGCAAATTATGCAAATGAGGACTTAATTTGCATAATTAATGAGGAAATTCTATAATTACAGTGTTTTGCATTATACTACTTACGTACATGTAATGTATGTAACCTATGGCAGGCGTAACTTCAACAGATACTAATTATGCAAATGATGACCTAATTTGCATAATTAATGCGGAATTCTATGATTTCGTAATGGTGAATGATGAGAATGTCATACTTGGGACATCTGTAAGTTAATCAAAAGTTAACATACATCACGATGCATATATCATGTTAATGCAGAGGTCATTTGCACAATTAAAGAAGAAATTTACACTTACATATCAAGATCATATTTCATGGAGGTATGAGATCTCGGAATTCTAGTTTCTATATATTTCATGTAAATCATCTATATCGTATTATGTTATATATGTGACATCGCTGCGCAACAAATTGTCACTCATAATCTGGGACAGATTAAACAAACAACTACAGTTCTATGGATCCAGCAATAGCTTTAGTGACAATATACTCTAATATGTATGGTTTCTGTGGAGTAAATTTGGTCTCTCAGTGTCTCAGTCTGTTTGCGTCTCTCCTTGATGTCTCTTGGTCCTCGTGTGGCCTGTACGTTGCCACCATCCTCCACGTGTGGTAGGCATGCTTCAGCAGGATGGTCGGTGGGAAGTGTTCGTCCAGCCCTTCCACTTCAGGAGCGTTCTTGTCATCAATGTAAGCACTCAGGGTAGCCATCATGCTGTGTAGAGAGAGAGGTGGGAAAGACGACTCTTTGATGTGTGATGTTGTAAAGTGTGTCTTTACAGAATATGTGTTTATTGACACAACAAAAGTACAGTGACTTTCGTAAGGTCTATACCTAGACATACAGACAGACACGTGGGTACAAAAGAATTGACCTGTGTACAAGACTATGTAAGTCATGTATGTAGTTGGCATTTCTTTCTTTTTTCTTAACACGAGAGGCAATTAAAAGCAAGTGAACCATTCATACAACAAACATCCAGACAAGAAAACAGCCAATGGCAAAGCTCTTTATTCACAACCACTTGTTAAACAAGAGCAGATGTTTTGATGACCATCTATTATCTTCATCAAGGCAATTATGACAGATTCACGAAGCGACAGCAAATGTAAGTCAAGTTTACCTCCACTCCGGAAGCCTGGTTTGTTCTTCTGCGACAGCGATGAGTTCATACAGCTCAGCCAGCAGACTGTCAACATTGACGTGTCTCAAGGCCTCCTTCAGCGTCCTGGCTTCAGACTTGTCCAGTTTCTCCCCATACTGCTGAGGCATGTCCTCAAATGGATCCTGTTGGGAAAAAAGTGGTGGTTCCTTGAATGTATTCCTGTATTTCCATTAACAGGTAGTTTCTATTCTTATAGTGGTAGACATACAATTACATTACATGTATATCCTATTATATCAAATTATCAGCAAGCCTGATCCTAATTAATAAGGGGCTATTAAACATTAATTGTATAAGTCCTTAGTTTTTAGGAAGTAGACATTTTTTAAAGTCTTCTTTTGAATATTGTAGTTTGAACTTTTGGTTACATGTACTTCAACAATAATGCTTCCATAAAAGATTCTGTAAGATGAAACAGACAATCAAGTACATCGTTTGTTTCACTAGTTAAATAGAAGGAAAAACCATCACAACTATCTACCATTCCAGTCTGACAACCTGGATATGAAAGCTCCTGAGTGAGAAACAGCTCCGTGCCTACCTGACCATTTTCCAGGGACATTCTTGCTCGCTGCACGGCCAACAGTTGCCACAGAGACAGGATGTGTTTGAGACGACAGTGCTGGTTGGCCTGGAGAATCAAAGTTGTTCATTAATGTTATCACCAAAATTTACACTAACACAACACCATTGAAGAGGACATTTGGAATACATTAAAGATAGCCAAAATATGCTACATAACGAGTCACTATAGCCACAAATTCATATAAGAGTAGTTAGAAAAAAACTCTGTTACATCTATAAACAAGCAAACAAATTAACACAAGACTATAAAACTGGAAGTTTAGAATACACTGAAGATATTCACAACATGCTACATGAAGAGTTGCTCTTGCCACAACATTGAGCAGATTTTATTTGATTTATTAGACTGTATAGAATGCTGTAGAATCAGGACTGTCCAACTTGCCAGAGGCTGTTATAGAGGGCTATAGCAATGGTAACTGGACAATCAACAATATAAGAACAGTTACAATATAGATGCATTTAACAGAGGTAACAAACAACAACGTAAAATAAGAATGGTTACAATTCAGATGCATCAACAGAGGTAACAAGGAAGTTACTTTTTAATAATACAAAGAAAAACATGGAGGAATTCTGTGACATTGAAGTCATGACAGTTGGACTGACCTTCATGCTGTGTAAGCCTGCAGTCGCAGTCATTTTAAGCACCCGGTGTAAGTACTCCCTGATAGGGGTGTTGGGGTCTCCTCCAGTAGTTGCCAGGAAGATCAAGGCAATGTCCACAGCAGCCAGAGAGGAGCAAACGTTGGTGAGAGTCCCCAGCTCTTGGAGGATGTGCATCTGGACAGCTTTGGATAGAGGCTCCTGAAGAAATGCGAACAAAAAGGCAAACTGAAGCAAAATATCCTGGCTTCCAGGAAGCTGTACATGACATTCCACCAGTATCTGTATTCTATGTGTAGCGGATATAATAGCCTTCAGCTTCGCAGGCACACAGCACAGCAGCAGCTGGCTATACACCAAACCTGTTACACCTACCCTTGGTACATCTAACTGTAAAATGTTGTTTAAAGCTACATGCATATGTATCTAGGGATGATGCCCTGTACCCTACTGTACTTAATGGCAGTGAGTTACATATTCCAGTTATTGGGAAAAACAGTTTTTGAACACCTCAATCCTTTTTGGTAACTCTGGTACTTAAGAATTACAATTTCTTGTTCTTTTTGTAGCTGGTTTTAGATACTTTGTAGTTGATATGTCCACCAGAGTTTATCATAGTCATTTTGTACATCATGCACAGTCTGGACATTGTTCTTCTCCCTTCCATGTAAACCAAGAAGTACCTACATGTACAAAATGTACATGTGCATGTATTCATGGATCACAAGCCTACGCTAAAATTCATATTTGCTTTCCACATCTTTTGTTTAACATACCTGTGGAATCTTGTCTCTCAAGCTCTTATACATCGCAACATTCTTGGTCTCTTGTCTGAAGACAAATGTTTCAAACTGAAAAACAGCAAGAAAGCATTTATATAAATAACAATAGACATGCACATTATTTGTAACAACACAAAATCATGTCAGAATATACTTAGTCTACTTTTGTAAAATACAGCAGCTAGGTTTTGAAACATTAGCAGTCAATGTGGTACCCAGTAGTTAGTGTATTCCTACATCACAACTTTCTGAGATAGTTTTAAATTTGCAAAAGGTAAAAGAAAAAGATCCCCACCTCATCGTTGATGCGAGGTTTTCCCGAGACGAAGCGTTCCACCAGCTGTCTCTCCAGCGCGGGGAGGTCGTAGTCCACCCTGCTGCCCTCCCCCACCGCCAGCGAGTAACAGCAGTGGGACAGCACCAGGGGCAGCAGGTCCTGGTCAGGGTGACAGCACACCACATGGGCCGTGTTCACATCACTCAGCAGGACAGATCTACTGGTGCTGAGGAGAGATGGACAAACACGCATGTAACAGTTACACACATGTAACACGCATGTAACACACATGTAACACACATTACACAGATGTAACACAGCACCAGGGGCAGCAGGTCCTGTTCAGGGTGACAGGTCAGAATATGGACTAGGTCAACATCGCTGCTACTGCTGGCTGTGAATACATTAGGAATACAAGACTTCTACCTCACACCCATTCCGGCATACATGATTGTACATTTTTCCTAAACTACACATCTGAAAGATATTTCAGTCATCAGTGTCTAAATGACTTGTACAAATAAAATAAAATGTAACAAGAATGTCTTCATGACATGGCAGCAACATTCCTCAGTGTATTGGGCCTTGATGTTTCTGACAAAGTAACAGGAGATCCTGTTCTAATTTAATTTAGACTTAAAAAGTGGTCCCTTGGCCTTGCACTGAGCAAACTCATTTAATAAGACAAGCATGCGTGTATACATCCATACTTAGAACTCTGTGCAGCTGCATGGCCCTGTGTCTCCTGTACAAAGCTGTTGTGTGCGCTGGCCAGGAACAGCACCAGTGCTGTGGAGCAGGAGGTCGGCACAACGGTTCTCTTGATGGGGAGGAGATGGTACAGGCTGGTCCTGATGGGGTCAAAGGTCGTTTGGCACAGTTCTCTTGGCACTGCCTGAGATGCTGAGGAAGTGAAAAACAAGTCATAGACATTGATGAAATGGTTAAAAATAATGGTAAAACAAAAGGATAGTTCTTGAACCACGATCTGATTCTTCTTTAATCATCTATTAGTTAGGATAATACAATTTGATGAAGGTTAGACATCGGGGTAAACAATATTCAAAGACCAATCAAACTCTACTACTGGACACATCTCCGTAATTTATCCACTAGTAGAGTTTGATTGGTCTTTGAATATGTTTTTTAGCAAAATATTTTTGTAATCTGATGAAATATACCATTTAGACACACATCATGTAGCACATTCATAACATTGTTCAGACAGGTATATGTACAAAGAAGACTGGTTGTAATTCATGAACTCTAACATATGATCATAAGTCTATAAGTCATATGATGATTGTAGACGATCATGTAAATTGCCTTTCCAAAGAACATGTCTAGCCATGAATGCAATGAGTCGAACCTGTGACCTCTCAGTCTCTTGTCTGCTAGCCTAACCACTGGGCCATTTATACCACTAACATTTCACCAATCGACATCACTTGTACCCAAATGTTCTGCTACATGTAGATGTATGTCAGTCCTGCACTTACTGGTTCTGGCCAGCAGGTGGCGTATCAGGTTCCAGGTGATACGGAAACTTTCCACCAGCTGGCGGAACTCCTCATACACAGCACCTGGAGAGGGGGAACGGGACTGTTAAATGCAAAATGCAGTCTGTAAGTCCTGTAGCCTTTTTGAGGCCGTAGGGGCAGTGGGTTGTTGATCCACTGTGTCTAGGGGATGGTATTGGAAAGTGGAGCCTATCCCTCTCCTTCTACTGCCTTTTATCTGCCCAAATGAAGTCAGGTAGTGCTACCCATTTGATACCTGGATGATGATGGAGTGAGGAAAGTTGTGTCAAGTCCCAAGGACACAACATCTAGTAATATTGCTAGGAATGAAAGGGACCAAACCCACAACCTCTAAATCATGTGTCCCCTAGCCTACTAGTACTAGGCCATTCTACACCAGTGTAGGACACTACATGCACAAAATGTATCAGTCTAAGGACAATGCATTAATCATTTTTCACACTTTCTACAAATGGGAACAACTAAAAGTTGTTTTAACATCTAGACTACATGTAAGTGTTAAAGCCTGTTGCTAAATACACAGAGTTTAATATGCACATAATACCAGGCACCTACCATGCATAATGGGCCAAGTCTGGTGTGTAATACTGCACAGTAAAACTAAAAGTCTTGTGTCTTTTCTTAACAAATTATTATGTTTTACCATGGAGTATGTTATCTGTAATTTTGTTTCAGAGTAGCTGATGACCTCACCTTCAGGCAGTTTGTAGAGGAAGTCGCTGACCTTGATGGACATTGCCTCGGCTACATCAATGTGTCCCTGATACTGGGTGATGAGCAGCTTCTGTAGACGGAGGATGTCTGGCAGGTGTCTCATGGCCTCCAGTACCTCTTTCTACATCCAATGTGGAGAATAGAGAGTTGGTTATACATTTACTATTTTGACTAAATACTTACTTACTTACTTTACTTTAT